GTTTCGAGGGGTGCAGATAAGCGGGCCTCCTGTCAAATAGAGCATGATTAATTACCCTCTATCCCGGCTCCCGCTTTGATAGGAGTGTCTAATGGTCTGCAGGCTTGCGGATCAGGTGGTGACATTCCGGTTGGGAGGTGAGAATGCCTGCTGTGGAAATGCCATGCGTGGGGAGAGATTACATCAACCGTGGCACAGGCAGAGAGAGGTTGTTTCCCTTCTTGTATACCTTTGCTTTTTATTTTAATATTGAGCACTTGGGACAGACTCAAATACAACTTTGGTGTGAGGCCAGCCAGGGTTTGTCCTGGGAGAGGAATTCAAGCAAACCGGGAACTGAGACGGCACAGGGTTTGAGTTGATTTACTCATATCCTACACTGCTGATTTTCTGTTGAACTGATTTTTTTAACCTCTGTTTAGCCTGGGAGGGCGGGGAGATGGTTCATTCTGAGTGATTACTCTGTTTCCCTTCAAAGAAATGTGAAGAGCTTTTCAAGATTTGGTTCAAAATTATTATAAATCACTGCGGGCTTCCCCAGTCTGCTCGGGAAAACTTGTTCCTTTTGGCTGGCTGATACTGTTTCTCTTCTGAACATATTTAGGGTGGAAGGTGGAAAGAGCAGCTCTTTCCTTACCCATACAGGTTGTGGCTTAAAAATACCTTCTCTATGCTTGTTTTTCACTCCAGAAGGTGCTTTATTGCGCTTTAAATGTTGCTCTGCAGAATAAATATTTGGGATTCTCACCTCCTTTGTTCCTTACTAAAAAATGGACACTTCTGCAAGTAAATTGGATAGGGAAAAAAAAAAGGGAGGTGATTGAAAAAGTACTGCTCCAGGCTGGGTATAATTAACTGCTCTTTGTCTCTTGCATGCGGGACAAGTCATGGCTTAGGCTGTTTGATGGTGGGGAACTCCCTGCAGTGGGCATGGCTCAGCAGGAGGAGAGGAGAGTGGCAGGGGATCCCCATGGTGGAGAACTCCCAAAGCCAAGCAAATCCCTGCAAAATGAGGGGACTTATTTCCTACGATTCACTTAAAGAACGGTCTTAGGGGCGGTTTTCTTTGTTTAACATCAGTCTGCATCTATGGAATTAAGTGGAAATCTGAAGTCTGGTTGAGATAGGACGAAGAGCAGGGGAAAGCCCACCTTGGGCAGCATGTTTGGGTGGGTGAGGAAGACGACGGTCCAAAGCTTAGGTCCCTTGTCAACAAGCAGGAGGGCTGAGCCCCGGCACCGAGCGAGGGGCTGTCGCAGGAGCGGAGCCTGTGTGTGCCGATGGCTCAGCCAGCACCCCCAGATACTGGTTCTGTGTTGATAGATGTTAAAAAAAAAGTCATTCAAAGATTATCTGGGGTTTACAGCTTCCTCAGACCCTTCTTAAAGAGCTCTTGAAGGACAAAAATCAAACAGTTGCTCCTTCTGCCTCCCTGGCACGAGGGACATAGGGGACATTCAAGCCTATCCTTCTAAGCCCTTTAGGCTTCTGTTACGTCTGCCTGGAACAGAAGAGGCTTTTGAACGGGGAGAAACAGCTTGGTGGAGGGGGCTGCTTATTTCCCCTCGAAGGACAGAGATGTTTATAGCTACAGTGAGGCTTCCTCCAGGGGAAACTCTATTTCAGAAATCTGAATTACAGTTAAACTTAGTTTACAGCTGTCTTTTCCTTCAGAAAAGCCGTGGGATGATTCCAACTACACATCGTCCTTTTTCCAGTGGAAACAGATTCTTTGTCCCCCGCCTTTGGTCGATTCCTTGCAGGAATGGTCTGTGCTTGTGTAGCTGGGGTTATACTAAAAGGAAGAAAAGGCGTTTACCAGGAAAACTGAGGAGCAAGTCATCTTCCTCGCCCTCTTCTCGAGTCGGGCAAGGCTTCTGGCTCTTTGCAAGCACGGTATGTACAGCGTTTCTGAGAGCCGGCGGAATAGAGAGGCTTGAAAGTACAGTAAAATGAGTTTGCCATCAAAAGGCAACAAGTCTTATGCTGTGCCCCCGGCTGCTGACCTTTCCCTCTGGAATTCTCCCCTCTGACCTCCGGATCATTAATCCTGATGCTGCCAGATGACAGTAATCCATCATGGCCCCTGACAAGCCTTGCAGCCGCCTGTGAAAGGATCCGCTTGGCTTCAGCATCCAATCGTCCCATGATACTCGTTTTTCAGCCTTTCCTGTTTGAGCGCTGGGGGTTTTCCAATAAAGACTTTTATCGCCTCGCTTTTCCTCGGAGAGGGGCTGGGGGGAGGAGAGGGCTGCGAGAGCAGCCTTTCCCTGCTTCTTGGCTCTTTTGCAGTCAGATCCCATGACAAATGCAGAGCCCGGGCTTGTTTGGTGAGGGTTACAGTTAATTTATCAGGTCCAAAACCCAAATCACTCTTTGCTAGCTGTGGGGGATATTACTTGGGAGTGGTACTAGGAGAAAGCCTGGGAGGAAAATGATTGCAGCTCCACGCTGGAGTGGTGGAAGTAGTTTTGTCCCTGCTGTAAAGTTTCTCAGCCTGAATAAAGAAATTTTAGGGTGAGAAAGCCAAAAAGCTATAGGTTTTAGCTTAGGTTCTAAAGGTACTAATTACATTTCAGGGCGATTTGGTCTGTGTCTCTTGCTTAAAAGCAAACTTTAGGAGGGGAAGGTGTCGAAGGGGTGGTAACATGCGGTGGGGAGGTTGGATCTGATTGCTGTTTCTACTCTAGCTATGAGCCAGCTCTTTGGAAATATATTTAAGGTGTTATTTCCCCCTGCTGTAGATAACGTTTGTCCCTTTCACAGGAGCATTTGGATAAATATCTTTGTGTTCTTTTGCAAATGCTGAGATGGGAGAATCTAGAGCAGAATAAAACTTGTGTTTAGGATAAATGCAGTATATTAAAAAGTCGCTATTTCCTTGTACTTCTGTATTAGCGGCTTGTTTGCCTGAGGAGCCTTATCCCTGACCCTTCCCTTTCACTCTCCATCTGGTCACTGGCCAAGGAGAGCCGGATGAAAGTCCCTTCTGGACAAGTTAATGCTATTCCCTAAATTGGATTGGGGAAAAGCTGGGGGGGGGGGCTTTGAGTGGGGGAGAGGGGTTTCATCCCGCCCCGGCGGAGCAAAGGCTTTGCTGGCAATGCGCTGCCCCTTAGGACGCCCCAACTTCCCTTGCTGCTGGGGCAGAAATGCCGACCTGTTAACGCAGGGGTGTTTTGGGGTGGCAAAACCCACCCCTGGCTCTTCCTAGAGATCTCAGAGAGAAATATTTCCCTGCTTTTCATTTGGGTGTGAGCGGTTACTGTGGTTCAGCTGATGAATGATAACTTAAGGCCGGTAACACGATCGCTCCCAAGCCTCTGTGCGTCTGAAATGACGCTGTTAGTCTGCTCTTAATCTTTGCAATAACACACCGAGACAAAATGGTGGCTGAGGAAAAACCGGAACAAATTGAGGATTGCCTTTACACAAGCTGGCTTTTTTGGGAGGGACTGGCTCCCGGTTTGGGGTGGCCAGCTGGGATGGATGGAGCCACAGTGAGTTTAAACAGTTTGGAACTGTCTCTTGTCTCTCAGCTCCCCGAGGGAACTGGCATCTCTGAAATGCAGGAAGAGGATCTGATGCAGTTTGTGAAATTATTGCTTTGGGGACTTTTGTGTTGTGGCCAGGGAAGGGTTTGTTTAGACAAGGCAAGGAAAAGAGGATATGATGGATATAAAATGATGGAGCCTGAGCAGGTTGCTCATTATGTTTTCTTACAATTTAGGAGTTAGTAACTTCAGGAGCCCTTTTAAAGCTGAAAAACTTTACGTTTTCTATCCAACATCTCATTAACCTGTGGGAATTGGTACCCTGAGTAATGCACAACAGGCTTCAAAAAGAAAAGAGAGAGGGGGGGGAAAAAAAAATTACACTTACATGTATAATGAGGACATCTGCAGAGCTGAGCTGAACTCCTTTTCACTAAACAGAATAAAACCCATTTATAAGGGCCATAAACTGCTCTGCTTCGGGGCATTAACCGAGTCGCTGGCTGATGAGCAGTGGCAGAAGTCTCCCCTGTGGGTCGGGTATTCCATAATTGTCCATTACAGCCCTTCGCAGGCTTTCCTGTAAGGGCTGCTCCTCGCCATTGTGGTAGACAGGATACTGACCTCAGATGGATGGCTCTTTGATCCAGGACAGTATTTCCTATGCAAAATAAAAGGTTTGCTACATCAGCTTTTTTTTTTTCCCCCCTCCCTTCTTCCTTTCCTTGCCTAAATCTCATTAGTTTGACTTTTTCAAACCCTGCACACCTTATCACTTTAAGGTGCTGCTAAAAGGTTAAAAATCCGCTTTTCTTGCCTCTGTTAACCCACAAGATGACAAAACCAAACGGGAAGGCTAGAGCTGGTTCCCTGCCTCTGCCCCGTGCTCCCAGGAATAGAGCAGGACCTCGTGTCGGGCTCCAAAAATCGCTCGTTTTGGGAAAAGCTTGTAAGCAAAATGTTACACACGTGCTGGGGAGGGAGGGAGGGAGGTGCTCTCAAGCATCACAGACCCTTTTCTGTCGCTGTTCCCAAGCAATACACGATGGCACATCCTGGGGAAGGTGGGAGCCGAATCCCAGCGTACGAATAGCTCGAGCTGCCTGGCTGCTCAGCCCCTTCCTGAGCAGAAACGATCCAGATTTTTATCTGCCATTGCCCTGGGAGCTCATAAGAAATGATTCCTCTGCACTGCTCCCTCGCCCCTAGGATTGAATAGTCCCTACTTCCCCTCTTTCTATTTTAGAAGTTGCTCTTAGCTGCAGGTTATTATTTGTCTGATAATTGCTTTTGCCTACAGGAAAGGATTTTTCACGGAAAGGACGTGCCGTGTAGCTACACTTCTCTGGCTCATTTACTCGCCCATCGAGAGGCCTCAAGTCAGGCTACAAATAGAGTTGCCTGAATTTCCTATTAGAAAGAAAATCGATAGCCCCCAACCTGCCAGTTCTCTTGGCCTCATTTTCTCTCTGACTCCGCGTTTCCTTCCCTGCTGTTTCCCTGCAGGAACTCCCATCAATCGGATCCCTATCATGGCAAAGCAGATCCTGGATCTCTATATGCTCTACAAGCTGGTGACCGAAAAAGGAGGGCTGGTGGAAATCATCAACAAGAAGATCTGGCGAGAGATCACCAAAGGCCTTAACCTGCCCACCTCCATCACCAGTGCCGCGTTCACGCTTCGAACCCAGTAAGTCTGGAAGGTCTAAGAGCGTGGGTGTGATCGCAGACTGGGATTTACTGGGGTGGAAAAACTGAAAGACTAAATTCCGCTCTGTGACCAGAGAGGAGCCAATACATTGCTTTACTTATATAGGTTTTTTTTCCTTTCTGTTCCTTCTCCTCTCGTTTTTCTTAGCTCGTTCCCCTTCCACCCTTACGATCCCAGCACCAACGCGCCATCGCCTTGTTTGCTGCACTCTGCGCCTCTCTCCGTCCCCTGCCTTTCTTGCCTCTTCAGAGCTTCAGCTCCTCAGGGCAAGGAGGGTCTTATTCTGTCTCTGAAGAGCTCTTGGCCCAGCCAGGAGGGAGGGAGGCCTGATTAGTAGGCATCGAGTATGAACTCCATCATTACTCCATCATTTCACGTCTGTTATCGCTACTAAATTGTGGAAATTTAGCACCAACTTACTGTGAGGATTGCTTTTCTGACCTGCAGTACCTCACATTGATTAGGTAGGAAGAAAAAGTAGAATAAGCAGAGGAAAAAGAATTGTGAAAGTAAAGCTACTGTAAAATTTAAGCAAGAAGGTGAAGCTATGCTTTAGTGGCTCAAGCGTGGCTCTAGGAATCCACACCCAGCTCTTACGCAGACTCGGTTTTCTTGGACGTTATTAGAGCCCCTAAGAGGGAAGCTCCTTGCCATCTCTACCGCCTTTGGTACAAACAGGCTGTCTCCTGCAAACCCGCGTGCCAGAATTCGGCAAAAGCAGTAAGGTTTGATGCTGCCCGATACAAACAACTCGGACAAGGGTAATTCCTCTTAACTTCCATCCTTGCCTTAAGTGTTGGAGTCCAAGATCTTAATTCTTACAATTTTAGATGGTTTCTCAGTGGTAAAGGAATTCTGGACGATTCTTTTCTGCCCTTGTGGGCGCAGCAGTACGTAACTACATCCTTCCCTACAGACACTGAGTAAAGTCAGAGTTTCTTTGCGAGGGCTGTGCTTCACACCCAAACCGCTCAACGCTTACAAACCGAGCGCAGCACTGGTCGCGATACGCAGACAGAGACTCCAGATTTGCGGAGGACCTTGGTCTGAATGTAACGCTCGTTGCTGCAGCCTGTAATTTCGTGTTCTGTCGAGAAACCTGCCTGAGTTTCCTTGTGCTCGCCTCTCTCCCAGGTATATGAAGTACCTATACGCCTACGAATGCGAGAAGAAATCCCTCAGCTCTCCTGCCGAGCTTCAGGCCGCGATCGATGGCAACAGGCGGGAAGGCAGGCGGCCCAGCTACAGCTCCTCTTTGTTCAGCTACTCGCCCACCACCACGGGGCCTCCTTCCCTCCTGTCTCCCCCAAAGATCCGCTTCCCCATCATCGGCGTCGCGCCAGGCAGCGGGACCAGCAATCCTCGGGTGTCTCCAGCAGCGGCTGTCAGAAAAGGTTAGCTACTTTTACTCGCGGCAGAGAGAACGGCTGGGTTAAGAGGCACCAAAACGCTTCAAAATTTTCCATTTTATCCACCCGGATTGCTTCGGACTTGAGAGCAGCGGGACGTGGGTGGCTCAGGGTTTGCAGAATATTCTGCATTGCGGTTTAAACCTTTGCGCGCTTGCTTCAGGAAGGGACTAAGCAACTTTTTCCTTTTCTAGGTGACGGCGTGCCCTTGACTGTGTCTATGCCAAATCGTATTGCCGTGCCAGTGACCTTGGCCAGCCAGCAAGCAAGCGTGGCAGCGAGAACGGCCACCCTAGAGCAGCTGAGGGAGAGACTGGAGTCAGGAGAGCCTCCGGAGAAGAAGGTCTCGCGGATGACGGAGGAGGAGCAGCGGCTCGTCCAGCAGGCTCTTCAACGCAACCTGTTCAGCATGGCGCGGCAGATCCCCATGAAGATCAAAATCAATGGCAAGGGTAAGCGGCACCTCTAGGTCTTTGCGGACTGCAGCAGGGGGGAGGGAAACTGCTCCCAGTCTGGGATGTTAAACGCCTTTTTACGCACGGGCTTGACTGTCTCTCTGGGTACCAGGCAGAGGTCACTGCCAAGAAGCTGTTAGAACGGAGCGCAATACCTGCAAAGCGAAACCGTAGCAATATTTTGTTAGGTTTTACTGACCGCTGCTGGTTTTAGTCAATTCTTGTTGACGCGTAATCCAGCGTCATCTGAATCCAACCTGGATTCAGAAGCGCCCTAGCTGTGTTCAGAAAGCTCTGCCTCGAAGCTGAATAAAACCCCGTACAAGACGACCCTCGCTCCAAGCTTACGACCTCCGATCGCAGTGAGATCGCTTCAGGACTCAAACCGTTGAGAGAAAACTTGCTCGCAGAACTTGTGCTGCGGGGAATGACCCGTTTCAGTCCTTGCAGCCGTGCTCTGTTGCATGCTGTAAGCGTGTTCCTTTCTTTGTGGGAAGCGCGTGGGGCGGCTGAAATGGCTTTGGGCCGCATATCTGACCCCCTCGTGTTTAATACCTGGTGTACTTCAGATCCGAGAGCGCGGTTCGGCCTCGCCAAAGGCAGTGCTGCCATTCTGCCGTCAGTAAGGTGACTTTCGGAGGGGAAGCCCTGCTCAGCTTTCCTCTGCTCTCATCTGAGCCCTGTGCCAGCGTTGCACCGCAGGGAACGATGATTTTTCTGTCCTTTCCTGGTCAGGAACCCTTTTAATTGATCGTGGAGGTAACAGCTTTTTCCCCAGGGGTAGCAGGAGACGGGGCAGAGATGCGCCCAGTTTTTAGGAATCCTTTGTCAGGTGTGAGGAGCCCACAAAGACCCGTGTATCTGCAGGGGGGGTGTCCCCTACGCATCCCAAGGGCTTTTAGCAAATCAGGTGATGTCTACCAACATCTGCCGCAACCCTACACGCAGCCTCCAGGCAAAGAACTCTTGGCAAGGCTGGGTTAGAAGGTCACGTATAAGCAGCATTCATGGCCTGGGAAAAGTGCTCCTGAAATGCTTTGTAAAAGGGGAGTCACCCTGGTAAAGGTCACGTTGTCAGAATCGATACCGAATCAAAAGCTGATGAAGTGCCGTGGCTCCCTTACCTGTCCCGGGGGCTGCACTTTACCGGACAGCAAAGCCTCAGAAAATTTTCACTTCCAACAGCTGCTTCCTCCAAACCCTTTTGATCCATTAAAATTAAAGGTCTCGGACCCCCTTTTAATTGTGCATTTGGATGTAGGCGCAAGGCCGGGCACGTTTGGCAGGGCTTAGAAGAAAGGGAAGGAAGAGTTGTTCCTGAGGCATTGCTAGTGATGCTGGTAAAAGCTTTATGTACCTGGCAAAGGGTCAAAGCAGGTTCCCCTTCAAACAGTAGCAGCTTGCGGAGTTAAATGGGATTGGGACTTCACTGGCATCCACCTAAATTTCACATTCACTGTGCAAACCGTAAGCAGGCATTCACAAGCGCAGAGAAGCGATCACACCCAAATTTCGCAGGATTTCGCACACGGCATTCC